TATTTCTACGTGTCTACCATTTTATTATCCAAAAAAGTTTATTGTTTAGGAACCTACTTATATACTTTAAATCCGGCTATTAAGAAATCTGAGAGTATGAAAAGGACCTCTCTCTATCCAACACTAAGATCATTAGTCTTACGTACCAGGACAATTTATAACAGATTTGATGAGAGCGATGTGTATAAGGTAGGCATCGTGCATGAACACCGACTTCAGCATGTTGTCGACCAATTCGCGACCGTAGCTCAAACTCCAACAGAGTAAATGTATGAAGAGAGTGTTGCGGGCGTTCATTTCTGGGGCCCTGAAATGAAATGAAATAGAACCTAAATTACTCACATATATTACCTTCTTTAACATCATTATCATTACTCTATCAGCTGTTGAGAAACCGGGCGTGCAGTGCTCACTAATGGTCCCTCCTTACTAAGGGGAGACCTATGCTAAGGATAGCATAGGAATTGCAGTTTAACTGCAACTCCATCAGTGGCAAAATACTGCGGCAATCCAGCTGGAAGGGACCCCGATCAAAGGATTGAATTAGAACTTCTTTCTTTTTAATTGTCTTCAAAACTGTAGGTACTGTCTGTATGTATGTATGTACGATTGGCTAAACCGATTTTAAAGCAGTTTTCAGACAAGTGTTTGTTATACTTACCAAAAACAAAAAGAAAGTTTAAACATAGTTTATAAAAGAATTAGTTATATGTAACTGAACCATTCGATGAATTCGCCACGGGCCACGTACGTTAATATAGTTACGACACTGGTCACCATCAATTTAGAAGATATTGCTGCGCCAAGAATTGCAGTTAGATCATCGACAGTTAATAGGACGTCACTGACCGTTCTTCGATAGTTTTAGGTAATATCAACACCCAATCTTAATTATCACACTGCTGTATGGCGTCAACTATCAGCGATAAGCTTCAGTCAGCTTTTGCGCAAATGGTTCCATTAGTTCAATAACGAACATATATGTGTATTTTGTATCTTTGCTATTTCTAAGCCGTAAACTTTTATTGAAGCAATTAGAGCTTAACTTAGAACTTGTATTGTGATAGATAGTATGGTCAAAGTGCACTGCTGGACGGTTGAATTAAAAGCCTTCTCTATAAAACAGGACCGCCGTAGGTATTCTCGCATGTTTGGAAGGCGCGTTGGGGAAAGATGGAGTAGCTTTAGTTTTTAAAATCAAGTATATAGATATGTGTACGTACTTGTATTTGGCCCACACGTACTCCTCCCATGCTCCCGAGTGTAATGCAGGTAATAACGGGTAATCTCTTAGAGCTAAGAAGCCAACAACTGCGTTATTTAGATCTTGTTGGCATACAGCTAGTACAGAATTCTCACTGAAATATAAATGAAATATAGTAGAAAATAAACAGTAGGTACGACTTTTGTTTCACAAATACAAAGTAAGCAGAGGTGATGAATTATAAATGTTCTTTTCACCAATTGGGTAAATGGACTCTCTCTATAACGAGCACTAGTCTGTGCTAATGAATATCTAACTGAGAATTCTTGATTGATTGAAAATCGAAAAAAATGTTTACTCGACCCAAGATTCGAACCTTCACTAGGCAGTCACGTTTGTGAGCACTCGACCTTTATTTATGATCTACTAGCTGACCCGGCAAACTTCGTACCGCCTAAAAAAGTTCTCGCCTTTTAAACATTCTCTGGACTTTCACGAACATTTCAAGACCAAAATTAGCCAAATCGATTCAGCCGTTCTTGAGTTTTAGTGAGTCTAACGAACGGAAATTAATTTTTATTTATATAGATAGATTTAGATACCAAAATACAAAAAAGTGGCAATGTATTTATTATATAACTAGTCTATTTACATGTAAGCATGTAATCAAAAGAAAGATAGAGTTAAACTGTCAAACACCAAGCGGTCACCGGTGACCGCAACCTATTGTTCTTTAGGTGTCTACAAAACCGGTACTCTACGAGTTAATATAGTAATAAACAGGTAAGTAGGTAGCTTATATAAAAAAAATATTCCTACATGAGATTTATAATATCGTTAGTGCAATAGACCCTGAAGGTTTTGGATATCGAGTCCCCGAGCAGTTCCAGAACATGAGGAGCATCGTCAATATTAGCCAACCTCACAATTCCAACAAGCGGTATTTTCACAGAGCGAGGGACTAAGGTAAAAACCATCTGGTCCTTTCAAATATATAACTAAATAACACAATATACACAAGTACGCTTCTTATGAAAGTATCCCAAAAATAATGCGCTGTTAAAATTAAGTTCTTCACAAACTTTCTATCATAACTGACAGTTGACATAAAAAAAGAAGTTCTATGTGTTAGGCACAGCACGAAACAGATAGGTAACGTATGGTCTTTTTCTGTTTCGTGATTTCTTGCAATAGATCTTTTCGCATCAACCTACAAGTTATAGTGGAGTGATACCACAGCCCCGATCCCAATGCACAGCGTGTGCACAGCCCAAGGACATTGAAAAAAGCCGTAAAGGCCACAGCCCATAGATATAATATCATACAGCAAAGAGTATAAGTATAGGTAGGGGAATCATACAGCCTCGTTTATAACCGGCATGATTACAACACTTTCACAGCCTGAGTAACTTTATGGTAACTTTATCGGAGGTTCAATTCATAAAGTTGACAGTGCATTTGCAATGCTTCGTGAGTTACGGTGTCCATATAGGGCGCAGATAGATTTCCATTGGGAAAGCCGTCTCTCTCTACTCGTTTGATCCCGTTTGATCCCATAAAAATAAAATGTATGTGCTTTGCATAGTCGTCAATACTAGGGTAGAAAATGAACAACTATCAGCCCAGCATTGTAGTTATCATTAGACCAACACTTTGGAGAGGGCGACTTGAACAAAACACTAAAATAAAAGGCTCAAATTAATACATACTTATTATTTATTATTATTCTTAAAATCAAAACTCCCTCAACTTCGGTTTTAGCTACTAAATAATTTGTGGAGACCACGGTCAAGTGATGGGACAAAACAAATAAGTTTGAGCATTACTTATTAATAATAAAAAAACTTTGTCAATTGATTTAAGTTCTTAATATACAGAAAACAATAATCCTAATAAAAATAATTTAATTCAGTAACAATCTTCTTACTAGCCCTAATTAGCGTCAATAAATAAGATGACTTCATTTTGTGGATATCTCTTTGGAGTGATTAAGGTTTTACGCCGTTCATAAGCTAAGGATTTCAAACTAAATCTAGTAAACCAGTTTTGTCTGACCACAAATTAGGTACAAATTATATTAACATTGAGGAACATAATAATATTTACACAAATTATTATAAACCCATATCCCAAACAATAAAATCGTTACAGACTTATCTGTAATCAGTTAATATTTTCCATCATCGATATTATTAGATTAAATAATTGAATTAAAAAATATTGCTTACGTCAATTGTAGGCGGACGTTGAATTTAATGAAATGAATTGTGGAAAAACTTCACCTCAGTTTAGTATAACATAATTTCAGTACCGAGTGCACCGTCTGAAGTTTATTCGTAAATAATACTACATAATTATGTACAGCCAAGTAGTCACATTGAATAAGAACAATGATATATCGGTAACGATTCATCTTCGGTTTCGTGGCAACCGGTGCGAATAGCTCATCCCATTTGTGATGTACATATTATATTATTATTTAAAATTATACCGTAAATTATGCTATAAACGCGTTACTCCATAACACTAAAAAAAATACAAAATTAAAGTCAATACCATTCATTAAAAAACATCAAATAATCACACCAAAATTTCCTAATCATCGGGAGGTCATTTACTAGTACAAAAATATCGTCAATTCTCTATATCGCTCTATTTAAATGTATGGAAAATTTATATAATTAAAATGTATAATAAAATAGCTATTCTACATGTGCATAACAAATATTGTATTATTCGATATATTGCTTTTATTGAACCAAGCGGTTTGTCAATGGCTTTATTTTGGAGTTTTATATTTTCGCGACTATAAATGCCATTTTACCTATAATATGAGTATCCATAATAGAAATTTGCGTAACCACTAAAACATTTTTCGCTTGTTACCTAAAACTACGGCTGGACTTAACATTCCAAATTGATAGTATCCTTATCGTTAAAATAATAAGTCTTACATAAAAATATCTAGCTACTATTATCTCTTAGAATCATTTATATAGAAAACTACTAGGCTAAGAAGTCACAGAGCGGTCTATAACCGCGCCGGTCGCGCTTGGATATCTGATTAATTTGAAAACTCACAAAACCGCAATTATGTAGTCGTTACATATTTCAAGAAGTAGTGAGGGAAAAATACTTGGTTGTTACTCATGACCCTAGCATCACATTTTCAATATCACATTTTACGCGAGTTACAGTCCTATAACCGCGGCAGAAGGGGTAATAGCAGCACTGTGACTTCATAGCCTAAGAATAAACACCACAGAAGGGCCTAGTTAAGATTCGAATAATTATATCTCCTGTGATACTTAAGCCATATTTAGTAAACATGCGAGTACATGAGACGAACTTATTACATAAGGCAAGTGATTAATGTGTTATCCCATAATATAAATCTATAAACTATCACACTTGAGAACTCTGAAGAAATATTGGACAAAGCACAACAGCTCATTAAAAGAGCACAGCTCTTCTGTGTACCTCATAGAGAAACCAGAGACAGGAACACACTTACGATTACATTCTTTACACAAGCTCCCTAATCTGGAAACTAACCTATTAGCATACATTATAATTTATATACACAAGTCCGATGCTTCCCTAAAGCGTATACAAACATTATTTCTGATCTATGCCATCAGAATTTCAAGGTTTATAATCAACCAGACATTATGATTAGTACGTCTAGTTGATAATAATATTCTGCACCATTAAAATAGGTTACATGGTTACGAGTTGTGCAATTACGTCTGTCGGTGTTTTAGATTGAATACAGAAAACAACACTTTAATATACAGCGTGTGAAGGAGACGTACTCGTTTTCTTACTCGATAGATATAATAAACGAAACCTACTTTTGTCTTATATAATAGTAATCGGTGTATCCCGCCACGTTATGATTTCATGGAATGGGGTGCGATACCCAAAAGTTTGGGGCGCGTTCGACACTAGGTCGCGGCGTGCGACGGCCGCGAGGCGCGAGTGTGTCGCGCGGGCGCGCCGCCGCATCACTTGGCGGGCTTGTGCTTGGGCGGGGTCGTCGGGGGACCGCCTGCCTCCGCGGACGCTCCTATAGCGACGCCTTCACTGTCTACCTCCATCTTTAAACAAGACATGTCATGAATTGAGCATTTTATTTACAAGATTTGTAATTGAAATCTTTATTTTCTAGAAAACAAAATAACTCACTTTTTCATCCTTGTTCGTAGTCTGAGAAGAGTCTGTGCCATTGTTAGCGTTGTCGCCTGTCTCAGCAGATTCTGTGCTTGTGGTACCTGCAATGTATTTACTTGTGTTATAAACTTATTGACATTGTCTCGAATAATCTCAATCTTATTGACCATTTTTGTACTGAAGCTACTTGTTCATAAGAAATGAACATTGAAGCGTACAAACCGGCTTGTATATGATGGGCGTTACCACGTTCTGCTTCATGTTCGCGCACCATGGCGTCCAGGTTGTATCGACGGCGATAGGAAATGAAGAAAGAACGGACGTGCGCCTCAGTCTTCGTGCCCAGTGTTTCGGCGATAGCTTGGAAGTCTCTCCCTGCATAACAAGAACAGAACCATATAAATGAAGTGACTCTAACTTCATGGACAAAACTCATCCATGTTATAGTAAATCCACATCTGCTGAATACGCCACAAGCGGGGAACACGAGCGACGAGAGACGCATTAGTCAGATGTGGATATACAACTTTTAAGGAAAAACAATATTGTGATAAAAAAACCCGAAACGTCGAGGAAAAATAACAGACTTATTGTTGATTCCTTACCGTACTTTCTGACGGCCCTCACTGCCATGAGTAGTTCGTCATTAGTCCAGCGAGAGTTGATCTTCGCTGGCGGTTCACCGGGCCTTAACTCTTCTACACCAGTATCGCCCACTTTGCGCTTCATCGCACTCAGTTGCTGTTTGTTTTGTTGCACCTATTACAAAATTTAAAGTCTCTGTATTTAGATCATTATAAACATCTACATTTTCGAAACAATCACAAATACATAACTAAGAAGTTCTGAACATAGGATACAAAGTGCATATCTGGATTATCCAAGAAACTACGTAGTAGGACTTGGGATTTGGACGCACAGCAAACAATGAAGCACGGCATTTTCTGGGGGTTTTTAATGTTACAACTCAATAAAACTTCAACAAAACGTTGTTCATCTAATCTATGTGTGCAGAATACTTTTTCCCACAATACCACCTAGTACAGTATTGTAGTATAATTAGCATGAACTACTACAAATGTATTTTCTAGTAAGTAATAAAATTAGTTGATTTATCACATTCTCACATTACATCACACAAATGTTTAGTCACATCCATGTTCTATCTGGAGAGTCAGAGATGTCAACATGTTTAGAAGTAAGTGTCGAGGTAAGGGTGAGAATGTGTTGCAACGACACTACATAGCGACATCGTAGCGAGTTGCTTCTTACTTGTCTCTTTAGAGATATAACTTCTCTGTCCATAGCTTTGAGCATAGCTTCGCCATGATTGATAAGTCCAGGCTGCGGGGGATCTCCAGGCTGAGGGCCGGTGGCCATGGCGACGAGATCATCGTGATTGATGTAAATACCGCGCGGCAGCCGATGCTTGTACCGCTGCTGTTTGGACCCCGGACCGCGTCTGCCGGACGGTCCGCACAGCGGTCGCATCGTCCCCGTGCGTCTGTTACATCACCGCCAATATTCAAACAACCATCCCTAAATACACTTAATTAAACCACACTCGAAATGTTATTGAGCTGCTTTGTATGTAACATGCAAGTGATTGCAACGAGTGGATAATCTAATAAAACTGTAGTAGAGTAGTTTCGTTACCGACCTGGCGTGCACGAGGCATGCCTGACACAACTTCTGCGAATTGTGCGCCGTGATCTGGTTGCACAGAATGCCGCACACAGTGCACCACTTGCCCGCACTCTCGCCGCCGCCCTCGCCCTAAACCCCAATTAACATTTTACATTTCCTGTCACATTACGACTTCCACCAGCTACACGAAATATAACAACAGTCGTGTAGGGACGGACAAAGACGTTTACAATGACTTCTCACACACTTCTTTTAAAACCCATTAGAATATTAAATGATATTCTGCACACATTAGATTTATTAAACGAGTTGTTCCTTCTTTGTTCGGGGCTATTAAAGGAAGCATGCGGGAAAATCATGGGAGATTGGGAGGAAGGGAGGAGGCAGGCTACATGACACAAGTTTGATTAATGTGGGAACAGAATGAGTACACAGTGACAGCACTATTACAATGGATTCTTGTCTTAAAGGTCCATCAACAACCACAACACGATAAATTACAATCAATGCGTATTTAAAACATACATTCTCCTTTTTCAGTAATGCATATTATCGTATTCCGTACCAAAAATATAATATTGCAAGAAAAAATAAACTTTATCCATTGCTATACAAGTACTTACATATAATTTGATAAATGCTACTAGACATGTTAAGTATTTTGATACAGAATCTGTGTTTATTATATAAAATACATATAAATGTAATAACTTCATGTATCATGAATATTTATAGAATAACATGTATAAAATTAATGTTGTATATGTATGTATGAGAGTAGTAGCGATCATAGTTTGTAAATAAAAATGCAGAGCGGTCAAAATTAAAATTAACAAGCATTATCAGAATACATAAAGCATTTTGACATAATATTTTTAAATTATGGTAATAATTATAATATAGTGACGGTGGAGTACAATATTATATAAAATTACAAGTGAATAGTTATTTGAAGCAAACATTTATAGCTTATTGACTGAAACACTGTTCAAAAAATATAGACATTATTATGTAGATACTAGACTAATAAACAAGCTCACGTTGCCACAATCAAAACTTGCATGATGACAAATTAATGCTATGAAGTGCAGACTATGACATGGCATGACTAAGAAAGACATCTCATGAAACTGGGATTCTGAAGTAGGAGCCAACATTTCTCAAGTAGAAGTTACCAAACATCAAATAATGGATGAGATAACACCAATTGAATAGACAAGTGAGATGATGGAAGAAGACATTGAACATCAAGTTTCCATGGTGACAGCAAGTTAATACGCATTGTGGGGAAGCAAAGCACCCACCTGGGCGCCCTGCTGGCCGGCGGCGCGTTGTGGAGCCCCGCCTGCCGCGAGGGACTTCCCTCCTCGGACAATACCACGGTGGAAAGTCCACTTCTGTCACATTTAACACAAGTCCATCATAACTAACAATAATATGCGACCGCCAAGCACCCAGCTAATTGGTATGATTGACTTTTATTTATAATTGTGGTGAATCATATTTTAAATCTATTACACAATATGAAATGGTCTAGATACATGCAGAGCAAATAATTCACTAAAAAAATTATCTACTCTGTGAACACAATTTTCAAAATAGTTATTGAAAATAGTTTGTCACAATGACAAAGTAAAACCGTAAAATGAGTTGTAATAAAATTAATTTCTGCCGCTCTGCTATTTTATTTACTAAACAGGTGACACATAATGTGTTTGTAGAGTACATAGTAACAATTTGGACAATCCAGATACACTGTCTTGTAATACGGAGGGAATGTGAGACAGTTGACATTACTGTAATTAGGTACATTGGTAATACAATGACATTGCACACAATAAAAAGGAGCAAATTATACTTAAATAATGTTACAAGCAATGAAACATAAAATGCAAGCAACACATACCTTCTCATCATTGTCTGAATCCTTGTCAGAACCGCCTGGTTCTGAAGCTGCACCTGATTCACGCTTGCCAGTTCCAGAGCTGGTAGCATTGCGACCTTCACTGACAACATCCATCAACGAAGTACGAGCCCTTGTTTTCTTCCACGAATAATAGTACTTTACTAATGATGCAATCGATTTGTCTGGCAACTAAAGGAAACAATTTGTTATAAAACTATTTCAAAATCAAATCAAATGATATTTAATTCATAGCAAACCTACCATTTGCCTAATTCTGTGAAAGCTTTTGCCATGAAATTGGAAAGCTTGTTCAAAGAGAACCTTGTCTTCCACAGTCCACTCATCAGGAAAAGGAGTGAAGTTCGCAAGGTCCATTGAAGCCCTGTTGAGGTCATGTTTGTGCCAAAATAACATCCCCAATGCTTGTTCTCCATTATAACCATATTTCTCCTTTGCTGTAGTAATATATTCATCCACTAAAAAAATTATAATATTAGAACAATGACAATTATGAAACCAAATAATCCATTAATTACATTTCCACTTACATTTGACGTCAGATATGTCACAGGTGGGTGACCAAACTAATAAAGCTCTGTCAGAAATAAGTTCTGGTCTGCGTTGCTCTACTGGTTCCAGTTCAGGGCACACTGCCTGGTAATCTCTGCCCACTCTTATCTTCTCAGCTGCAAACGGTATTACTGCTTGGTCGCGTGTTTATTATTATTGTGGATGAGATGAACGCAGCAGCAAGGCGATGATGATGGTAAGCATAAAAAGAAAGCACGAGTGTCAGATGATCATGATTATGTCTCCTCCACAACAATATGTTAACACAAACACACGAGATGGAATATTATTCACCCGGTTATTACAGTCAATCAATTAAGTATGTACTTGTTATAGGTACGTGTGATATTTTCGTAAGTAGAAGTGCCAATCAACATGCAAAAAGCTCCCCCAATTTCCATTAAAATTATTTCATGACGACTTATAGCAATAAAAAATTCAAAGTATTTCGTACCATTTTCATCTTCAGAACTGGAATCTGGACTTCCATGGCCATTGGGGCTTGGCCCCCTTGACCGCTTCCCGTTTCGAACATCATTACTTCTTTCGGCCAAAACCATGATTACACACTTGATAACACAGATTTCACTTAATTAACACACAATACGAAAACACATTTATGGAGTATTGTGGTTGAATAAAAGATTTTAAAAGAAATATAGAGCTCCGCACTTAAATTCAAACGTGATTCAAACCACCGCATCAATAATCTGACAAACCAGCCCCAGAATGTAATAGTCGATTTGATGGCGTCTGTACTTTACTAAACATTCACTTTATTTTAATAATTTGGAAATTAGAAACGCCTTCCGAAATATTTGGAGTGTTTAAATTTTCTTTATTAAATAATTTTATTGCCAAATTCATTAAATTAAATGCAGTAGGACTTAGAAATCTATTTAAAACCTCTGTTTGAATATTTTTTACACGAGTAACACTGGTGTACAGACTTTGAGAAATCACGCGAAACACTGCACCTAAATTAATTAGTTTTATGAGCAATTATCCTCATTCATTAATTTGAACTTATTTCATTTATATACTACCAAATACTATAATTGCAAATTGAACAACTTTTCATGTTGGAATTTCTTATCATATGGAAAAACGCCTACAACTAAGTTCAAACATTTGTTTACTTTCATAAAGAGAGATGGCGTTATTAAGCATCATCTCGTCTTGGTTAATTTTATGTGATAAGAAATAGAAGTCCAAACCAAGATTCCAGTGGCCATGCAGTGTATGAACTTAGTACTAATACTTAGATAGATTGATACTGCATCATCAGCCATAACACAGCTGACAATAAATATTATCATGATTTGGTAATTGCAGTCCTGAAACACTGACACTAAATTTATTTATCAATATACGGCGCAATTGCTAAATGCATACATTTTTAGAATTCGAAGGAACATTATATAGTGTCTCTAGAAATTATGTATTACCGATAACAAAAACAAGAGTTAAAGAGTTTTGTTTAATCAGTAAGCCGTCGATCATTACTAATCCTTTAGACGCTTTGTGTATGTGTTTTGTTTAATCTTCGGAATTGCTGATTAAAATAAAGGTCCATTTATTGAAGCAGATGGGGATAGAGCAAACGACCGTGCGCGTTACCCGGGCTCCGGCTCGAAGCAGGAACGAGGTGGTTATCGATGATTTTCAGTCAGTAATAGTCTGCACCCTCTCTGTCGCCTCAGCCGAAGCGAAAGAAACACAGACGTATTACAGGGAGAGAAGTCATTGCATGATTTTCATGGATTTTCCGCAATGCTATTAAAACATCCCACTATCATAAAATATAGTGGGGCAGTGTATAGCTAATGTATTTTATGATAATGGGATGTTATAGCGATTGTGTTGCGAACTAAGCTGCAAGGAAGAAGCTGATTTTCTTTTAAATCATAGAAATGCTGGTGAATCACCGAGTTTAACAAATTATTTGGATCAATGCCTGGATTTGCGATTTGAACTGTGCATAGTCATTAATAAATCAATGTGCCTACCTACTTATTTTCTTATGAATTTAATGGTAGGAATATTATTGTGAGATTTGGTAACAAAAGGTAGGTATGATCATTAAAAACTGGACGCCAAACCTACCTGTGAATATTCCCTCCTCGAGTCCTCATCATAATATCTCAGTGTATACATGTAATGTCAAACCTCTTATAAAGTAATAACCATAGATTTAATTTATCATATCAGTGGATATACCTCATGAAGTCATGTAAAATAGGGGAAATCCGCAACGCAACGCTGTGGCGCGGCGCTTGATTTTTCATCAACGATTCCATTCCCTGGTCAGTGGGTCGTCTTAGGGGCAAGGAGTTTGCTGCGTTCAAACGCATCCTCCCCAACCTCGGGGGGCCAAACGCCTCCTGCCGGAGGTTATACGCTGGGGTCGTGCGGTCCATGGCCCTCTACGGCGCCCCTGTGTGGGCGCCGAACATGCTGTGGCGTTCCGCTCGGACGCTGCTCATGTCACAGAGGGTCATGGCGATCGAATGATCCGCGGATACCGCACGATCTCCGGGGAGTCAGCGAACCTCCTTGCCGGATTACTGCCGTGGGATCTGGAGGCGAAGGTGCTCGCGCGCGTGTATCACATGCGCGCGGAGGCACGTCGCCGGGGCGAAACTCCGCTGCCGCGCCAGATAAGTGCGTGGCGGGATGAGCTCCGGCGCGATCTCATGGCGGAATGGCAGCAACGACTGTCGCAACCGAGGGCTGGGCTCGCTGCCATTGCAGCGGTAAGACCCCTCTTTGAGGAGTGGCTTGAGAGACGCTACGGCGTCCTCACCTACCGCCTGACCTTTAGGCTCATTTTCAGGCGAACCTGAAGCCCTAGATAAAAAGTGCCCAGATAATATTCACCTTATCTTTAGATATACCAAAAGATAGAAATGAAAAACCAGCCGCTTATAAGAATTCTCATTTTTGATGAAAAATTTTCTAAGTCCTCGCGCCATAGCGCCCCTAAGGCTACACTCTAACCCATTCCCTTTTATGGTTAAGGAAATTAAAATTTTAAATCCACTGAATTGTTACATTATACAGCAAGAAAATAATGTTTATTGCTGTGGTTTTAGAGACGTATAATTATAAGTTGGAAATATTCATGCAAAAAAAGGAACAAAATGTAATGCTATGTCAAAGATAATGTTTATGATTTTATTTCAGAACGAAACGCAATATGACAGATACTGTTGCCGAGGTTTCATGAACACTTTAATTTTGCTTTGCGTTTCAAGAATGTTATCAAAATAGATAACGATTATGTTTCGTTGTAATTCCTTCACGAACAGGTGGTAAAGTCGCGTCACAGATAGTAAGAAGTACACTTTAACGAGGTGGTGAGAGTAATGCCACTGTCGTGATCAGGACCGCGTTTTGTTCTTTATTTTGCCAAAAAAGGGCGCACAATTATTGTGAACGTTATGTAATGTGTATTGTAGTGTTATCGTGAGTGGTTATAATATTGTGGGGAAGATGAGGACGGTGGCATTGATCAGCGGGGGTAAGGACAGCTGCTACAACATGATGCAGTGTGTCGGCGCCGGGCACACGATCGTAGCGCTGGCCAACCTCCAACCTACACAAAAAGGTTAATTTTGTCCCATTAACGAATTTAGACACGTATATTTACCATGTATTTTTTATTTTGTTAATTGTCTTATTCCTCTAAAATGTCAAGAAACAGAAATAGAAATCGCCTGTAGGATGTCACTAAGGTTTTGTAACATATGTCTTAAAATAAAAACATCTGAAGTTATTTTAAGCCTACCTGTGAATTGGCATCAATTGTTATTGTTATCAGTTTACCTGTGCAGAGCTGGGAAATAAATTACACTTTCATTATAACTGTGAAAATAAATTGGATACTTATTGCATATCATTATGACTTAAAAACTACCTATCTAATAAATTCTTCATTTTGGTGAATAATTTATTAATCTAGGAATAAAATTTCAGATGAGCTGGATAGCTATATGTACCAAACAGTGGGACACCAAGGTATAGATCTGTATGCAGAAGCTATGGGCCTACCACTCTACAGGGAAGCAATAACTGGCAATGCTGTCAACCAGGGCAAGAACTATCAACCCACAGAAAATGATGAGGTTGAGGACTTGTACAGACTCCTTTCTAAAGTTAAGGTGAGCCATTAAAAAAAAACTGAAAACTTTATGAGCATAAACATTCCATCTTGCATGATAACTAGGCATAAAACATAAATATCTGTGTACATGTATAAGTATAAAAAGATATTCACACAGACAGCAGTCAAGCAACAGGTTTTAAATTACCACTTGAAGTGAGTAGACTGATCTATTCAATGATTGTATGTAATGACCAATTGTGAATAATGTATTCAAATTAGAAGCTTTTGTTCACTTTGTAACGGAATATTATGTAAGTAACTTAGGCAAGGTCCTTAGTTTGACCTGTATAGGTAATTATTACAGTCAGAAAATACAAAATAATGGTGGCAATAATTGTTCCTTTGTAGTATTTTAAGAGTATATAAACATGGATTAAACAAAGGAAGTAAGTAGAAATTATTGTCTATTTGTATATGATATCTACTTAGGCTCAAAATAAACACACTCTACAGCATTTCCTGTACAGAAAAGGATTTTTATATCTTTCTTCAGTCTCTCACAAAGGAGTACATTGTTTGCATCTGATTATTGTATCTTATTTCTGTAAATTATCCTTTGTGTAGAGAGATAATAAAAAAATAAATTTATTCTTGAAACACAATTATTCACAATAATTTGTAAAAAATGTAGAATAAAAGCATGATATCTCTATCACTAGTTCACATTGAAGCTGTATTTATCTGTAGGTTGAGTAATAAGTATAGTATACTTATAATTTATAATAGCCTAGTTGATATGCTTATCAATCATTTATTTTCCCAGTTAAAGTCAGTATGTGGCAATTAATTTGTCTGATATTGTGCTAGTAAACACGAAATTGTTTACTGTGATGTGTTATTGTTGGACATTCATTAAAATAATGCTTCAAATGATACAAGCATTGAATTACCACTTTTTTGCCTTCTTGCATTATTTCTAAAAATGAAATTATGCTCAATATAAAAACATATTTATAAAAGTTAAATTAACTCGTTGAGTACCGTCATTATAGACACAATTATAGAACAATAGGTTGCGGTCACCGGTGACCGCTTGGTGTGCGACAGTTTAAATAAAGAAATGCTGATTACTAACAAACACAGGCAATAAAAAAGAACAATATAAAATAGTAGAACATGTAAAACTCACAGAAGTGATTCATTATAAATTGTTCACATAAAACTTGACTTTGAAATGAGTTTCATTGACATTGTAAACATGTGCTAAAAATATTTAAATATACTGTATCTGAGTGTGTTATGTTGACAGTTTAATCTGAATGTAAATAAAATCTGCAGTGATAAGTTGTCTGTAACATTTTAACGATAGATAACGATTGTTTCAGAATGATTTAGATATAGAGGCGGTTGCCGTTGGTGCCATATTGTCAGATTACCAAAGAATTAGGGTGGAAAATGTGTAAGTATTACAAAATGAATTTATTTTTATAAGTATAATAAGTTTTATAAGTATATATTTTATTTTCCCACAAAATTTATCAGAAAACATTTTAAATTATTAAAATCAGTATATCCCGCAGTATAGTGGGATGTTTTGAAATATTATAAATTCTCAGTAGTCTAAGCAGCAGTCTCGC